GAATGCTTTAAATAAATGGAATCGTACAACATACAGTCTTTTATGTCTGGCTTCTTTTACGTAGCCTAATGTTTTAGGGGTTCATCCACTTCTAGCATTTCTCTATAGTTTGTTCCTTTTCATTGCTGATTAATATTCCATTGTATATATATACCTCAGTGGTGGGCAACTTCCATTGTAGCTGTTACTGATCCTCACTTCCTGTGTAGTTCTTGACCTTGTGTAATTCTTTCACACTGAGTGTAGGCTGGACCCACTGCCCTGTTTCCAATGAATAGAATGTGACAGAAGAAATAGGATGTCATTTCTGAGATTAGGTTATAAAACTGGAGATTAGTTTATTTTTAGTAGGGACAGGGTCTTGGTTTTGCTCAGGCTAGTCTTGAACTCTTGAGCTCAAATGATCCTGACATCTCAGCCTCCCAAAGTGCTTATAGTTGTGAGCCACCACACTTAGCTCACACCGTGATCTGGTATGGAAGAGATCCTTGGAATTATGTAGTGCTAGGCTGCCCATAGGTCTATTAACACTCTCCACTTTACCTTACAGAGGTACAGATAAATTAGGTATCTTGCCCAGACTTCCTGGATCAGGAAGATCAGCATCATTTGGGAAGTTCCAGATGGGCTGAATCAGAAACTCTGGGGTGGAACCAGGCATGGTGGTTCATGCCTGTAATCCCAGCACTTTGGGAGGCTGAAGTGGGCAGACTGTTTGAGCTCATGAGTTCTAGTTCAAGATCACCCTAAGCTACAGCAAGACCCCATCTCTAAAAATAGCTGGGCCCAGCCTGAGCAAGAGTGAGACCCTGTCTCTCAAACTAGCAGGGAGTTGTGGTGGGCACCTGTAGTGCCAGCTCCTTGAGACGCTAAGGCAAAAACATCAGTTATGCCTAAGAGTTTGAGGTTGCTGTGAGCTATAATGCCACAGCACTCTACCCAGGGCCACAAAGTAAAACTCTGTCTAAAAAAAAAAAAAAAAAGAGGAGCATTGTTATTCATGTTGCCCTGGGATCACACCTGAATTTATGCTAAGGGGTGAGAAGACTCAGACAGGGGGCTGGTCACCAGGAAGAGCAACCTTGGCATTAGAGGGCTAAAGCTTTGCTTCAGACTGACCTATGGAGAAGGAAGCTGGAGATTGAGTTGAGTCCTGTGGCCTGTGATACAATCAATATACAATGAAACCCCAATAAAAACTCTGGATACCGAAGTTTGATGTAGCTTCCTGGTTGGTGAACACTTCAGTGTACTGGGACGGTGACACGCCCCATTCCTCTGGTGAGGCACATAAGCTGTGTGTTTGAGACCTTGCCTATATCTCTTCATTTGGCTGGTCCTGACTTGTACCCTTTATAATAAAACTGTAATCATAAAAAAATAAAATAAAAAACAAGTAAAAATATTTGGGCATTGTGGTGGGTGCCTGTCCCAGCTACTCAGGAGGCTGAAGCAAGAGAATCACTTGAGCCCAAGAATTAGAGGTTGCTGTGAGCTATGATGCCAGAGCACTCTATCAAGGGGGCAACAAAGTAAGATTATGTCTCAAAAAAGAGAAAGAAACTCTGAAGTGAAACCCAACAATCTTCGTTAATAAGTCCTCCCACTCATTCTGATGCATGCTAAACTTTGAGAACTAATGTTAGGGAATAGCTTAGATTTTTGTTTATTTGTTTGTTTAACAGTTTATTTATTTATTTATTTTTGAGACAGAGTCTCACTTTTTTTTTTTTTTTTTTTTTTTGAGACAGAGCCTCAAGCTGTCCCCCTGGGTAGAGTGCTATGGCATCACAGCTCACATCAACCTCCAACTCCTGGGCTCAAGCAAGTCTCCTGCCTCAGCCTCCCAAGTAGATGGGACCACAGACACTTGCCACAATGCCCAGCTATTTTTTGGTTGCAGCCGTCGTTGTTTGGAGGGCCCAGGCTGGATTTGAACCTGTCAGCTCAGGTGTATTGAGCTGCTTGAGCCACAGGCGCTAAGCCAGATTCAATTATTTTTAATGGTTATTTTATTCTTAGAGGATTTGACTGCCCCAGTACTGAAAATAAATTATCTTGTGTGATATAATACCTATATGCAAGCAACATTCTATATCATGATTCCTAGATACCAAGAACATCCAGTCCAGAAAAGAAATTACTACAACTTAAAATGGAATTTTACTGGCAACTACTACATTTTCTTCCCTGCTTATTAATTTTAAATCATATGATAAAGTGAATTTAATAACATAGTAAGTCTTATGGGTATGAGAAAAATTGCTTCCCTTTTGCTAAACCCATCAAATGTAATTGAAGATTAATACTATGTGTTGTAAAAATTGGCTTATTTTCAGTATAATGGAAGACATATCATCACTTCTGATGTTATAGTCTGTTACCATGAAAGGAAAAATAAGTAGAATGCTTACAAAAGGACTGGCTACATAATTTCAAGGGCCTACTGAAACATGATGTGGGTGCCTTCTTCAGAAAGCATGGGCCAAAGTGCTGTTAAAGCTACTAAAATCCAAAAGGTTTTTGTTTCTTCTTTCTCTCAAGTCTTCATTGTGTTTTTATTTGCTCTTTATTTATTTAGACAGTCTCACTTTGTGTCCCCTGGGTAGAGTTCCATGGTGTCACAGCTCACAGCAACCTCAAACTCTTGGGCTCAAGTGATCCTCTTGCCTCAGCCTCACAAAAAGCTGGGACTACAGGCAACCACCACAATGCCAGGCTATTTTTAGAGATGGGGTTTTGCTCTGACTCAGGCTGGTCTTGAACCCATGAGCTCAGGCAATCCACCTGCCTTGGCCTCCCAGAGTGCTAGGATTATAGGCATGAGCCACCGCACCCAGGCTTTATTTCTATTCAGTGTCGTGCTCCAGCGTACTGGGATACTTGCAGAGTGAGTGCAAATGCTCACAGACATCCCAGGGCCTCCTTCCAGGACTCTGTACCCACTGTCCAACCCCCTGTGAGGTTCACCTACTCTCCAGCCACCTGAAGGACTGACACTCTGCCCTGCAAGGAGCAGGAAGTCAACCTCTTCTGGACATGGACATGGCCTCCTGCTACAACCCATGGCAGACAGGCATCTCCCTCCTCCCCTTAAGATTGCAAGCTAGGCTCTGGGAGGCACTTGGTAACCAGTGTCAAAGGAAAAGAAGCCATAGTCTAAAATAATTTAAAGAGGTTTATTCTGAGCCAAATTTGAGAGCCACGGTATGGAGCCATGCCCAAGAAACCTTGAGCAAGTGGACTTGTTGTGGTAGGGGTTACAGTTTGTTTTATACATTTCAGGGAGACAGGTAAAGTCATAAATCAATCCCTGCAAAGTATACATCAGTTTGGCCCAAAAGGTGAGACATCTCAAGGCAGGTGCCCACAGGTTATTAGGTGAGTTTAAAGATGTTTTAGTTGACAATTGGCTGAAAAGTTAGACTCTGTCTAATAGGCTAGGAGTCAGTGAAAAGGAATGCTGAATTAAGATAAGGGTCAGTGAATCAGAGACAAACTATAGGGCACATGCTCAGACTCCAGTGGCTTGTTATGTATATTGAGGACCTGTAGGTATGTTTTACACAGCCTTAGCTCTGCCGGGTTTGTTGTTGTTGTTGTTTATTTGTTTTTTGGGACAGAGTTTCACTTTGTTGCCCTTGGTAGAGTGCTGTGACCTCATAGTTCACAGCAACCTCCAACTCTTGGGCTTAAATGATTCTCTGCCTCAGCCTTCCAAGTAGCTGGGACTACAGGCACCAGTCACAACACCCGGCTATCTTTAAGGGAGGAAGGGATCTCACTCGTGCTCAGGCTGGTCTCAAACCTGTGAACTCAGCCAATCCACCCACCCTTGGCTTCCCAGAGTGCTAGGATTACAAGTGTGAGCCACCACACCCGGCCCCTTAGGCCTGTTAATGAGTTGAAAAGGACATCTCTAAGAAGGCTGGGGGACATGAAATGGCATGTCAGATTGCCTTTCTCAAGGGTAACAATGCAGTTTAGGGGATCCCATTGGCTAAGAAAGAGGTCCAGTGAGTCATCCCCTGGGGGGAGCCATAAGATTTTATTTTAGTTCACACCAGATCACAGGTGGGAGAGAGGTTCACCCCGCAAAGACTCACCAAATGCACCACCTGTCCCAAGATGCAGCAAGGTGCATGTGTGTGACCTGGACCTTCCTCAACCATATATCCATGTCCTTGCCAAAAAGCAGAGAGTGCTGGCAGAATGCAACCCCACCCCAACCCATATTACCCAGTTACCACCCTGGGCAGAAGTGCTTAAAGGGGAAAAGTCAGGCAATATTTGAGGTGCAGGGCATGGAGCTAGCAGCTGAGAACCCACCTGGAAGGAAGGAAGGAACCACATGTAAGCCAAGGTTCCAAGTATCCATCACATGCTCCTTCATTCCATCAAACTTCTCTTATAAAACACAAATTCAAAGATAAAAGCATTAAGATTTCCTTTGACACAGACTCTCATTTTGTCGCCCTGGGTAGAGGGCTGTGGCATCATACCTCCTAGCAATCTCAAATGCCCTGGGCTCAAGGGATCCTCTTGACTTAGCCTAATGAGTAGCTACAGGTGCCCATCACCACATCGGCTACTTTTTCCATTTTTAGGAAAGACAGGGTTTTGCTCTTGCTCAGACTAGTCTCAAACTCCTGCCTCAGCCTCCCAAAGTGCTAGGAAGTTACAGGGGTGAGCCACCTTGCCCAATTTAATCATTGAGATTTCTAAGAGTAGCCTGCAGACATTAAACCCCTGAGGTAGGGAGGGCCCTTCTCCGCACCAGGCCCTGGGTGACTGTACAGGTCACACCCAGAGCAAGCCATTCATGGGTATGGGTTTTTAACTTTGTTGCAATGTCTTTTTAGATGAAAATACTATCATTGGCAGGATTCAATTCAAGTTATGATGCCAAGCAGTTAAAGTATAAAGATAATTTTTCCATAAACTTTATACAGCTTTGATAAAGAAGCAGATGGAAAAACATTAAGTGCAAAATACTTAAGAGCCTCTCTCTCTTGGGGCTGTGGAGGGACCCGTTTCTCCTCAGCCAAGGATGGAGGCCAACATCAGCTGCTGAGCACCATTGTCGGGACCACCATGAGCAGGCAGTGTTGTTTTCCTGCCTCAGACATTTGAAACAAAAACATTTCAGACATTTTTAGCTACCATATGAAACACAGACATTATACTATCTGTCTAATTTTCAGAGCCTTTTATTATTTATTTATTTTATTTTTATTTAGTTAGTTTTTTGAGAGAGAATCTCACTTTGTTGCCCTCAGTAGAGTGCTGTGGTCTCACAGCTCACAGCAACCTCAAACTCTTGGGCTTAAGGGATTCTCTTGCCTCAGCCTCC